GGACTGTTGATGAGTTCAGGGGTGGGGAAGAGGATAATGCGTTTCCGTGAGGATTGCAAGTGTTTCAGCAGTCATTAGGGAGAGACAGGAAATGACTCTGATAATTGGCTTCTGACAGATTTGAACATGAGAACATGATTCAGCAGAGCAGAAGAGCCATACGTACAGTGTCCAGTTAATTTTGGTTTTAATTTTCTTAATTTCATAGATAGCAGGTAAGACTGACAATGGAATTTGGACTAGAAATGCCATGTAATAGGTCGATAGCTGGAAACATCTGATCATGTACGTCATAAGAGAATTAAATACACTCTGCTGATTCACTTCATTTCTTGCTTGTTCATCTTGCTTGCGCTGAGGGAAGTTGTGCACTTGAGAGGATCTGGGGAAAGGAGTAAGATTTCAGTAAGTTTGAGAGGATAGGAACATGTGCACATAAATGGGTTATTTTTCCCTTGCCTGTGTTGCTGTTTCAGAAGGCTGATTATTTAAGACAGAAAATGATACCATATGTGCCTGACAAACTGCAGGGTATTTCTGCTGTGGCAGTGAGCCATGGTAGCATGGTTTCAGTCAGGATTTCTATTCCCAATCCTACCAGTCCACTTTTCAGACTCTCAGTGAGGGCTCCACATCCATGTTTCTATCTGTAGTTAGAAACTACAAAGCAAGAGAGAATCCAACCAAATTGTCATGCATTGGCTCAGCAAACTATACAGGTGTCGCTGGGAGAGGCATTGCAGCTGTACTTCAGTGATTATAAAGGTCAGTATGCATTTCCACGAATGCTCCTGATTCCAAAGATGTGGAACTCAATTGCAGAAATCAGTTCAGTCAGCACAGAGGTTTGGCGCAGGAGTTCTCAGAACACGAACCTGTTTGCTTTTACAAAATGTGCTGAAGATGCAGGAGTGGGAGTCGTTAAGATAACAGCCGATGCAGTAAAACCATGTGTAACTGCAGTTATGTATTGGCTTGACTCATGCCAGTCATTGCTGCCTTCAATCTGCGGAAAGGGAGCAGCAGGGGTTCATATATGTAGCTAGGGGAAGAGTTTAGCCCAGCTAAGAAATTAAGAAATTACTTAATAATGTATAAGAAATGCTGCATCTTTCTTTTCAGTATTTTGCAAGGTTTTCAAAGTTCCCTTTTAAAGACAGATGCAGCCTTTCCTTCCTTTTGTTTTCATTTTTCCACTTATTTGATTGTGTTTTGTTTCTACCCTGTCTAGCTCGCGTTCCGCACGTCCTGTAAAACCAAGAGGGATGTTACTGTTTTTGTTTAACAGCTTAAACTTGGGCAGATTATTCTGTTGCCAACATCTCTTGGTTGGTGTGCAATGGAAATCTACCCATGGACTCACGTTGATGAGGTTGTGGAAACAATGTTTGCTAGTGAATGCCAGCCCCATGACTGGCATAGAAAGGACAGCACGTGCTTCAGGAATACTTTAAAGCAGTATTTTGGACTTTGAAGCCAGCAGATTCAGAAAGGGAGAATGACGGAGAGGAACTAGTTGAGCTTCTGTTTTTTTCTGAGCATGTTTTATTGTTTCCAGTGGTTGAGCGCACGCTGTGCCTTGCTTTGGGCAGGATGGCGGGACTGTGGCATGAGCGTCTCTCCTGGGAAGTCAATGCACAGGGGCCACAGTGGAGTCATGTGCCAGTAGTGGGGTTCCCTCAGTGCATTCCCTGCTTTTCACAGAGGCAGGACAGATGGGGTGGCCTCTGTCTCCCTCTGACACCGCAGGGCAGATCCAGCTCCCCGGCAGTTTCCCCGCCTGCTGTGTCCGGCACGTGAGGAGATGAGAAGGGGAAAGGGTGCTGGGCCAGACTGCAAATATGGGGAGACTGAGGCCCAGCGGCAGCAGAACATGGGAAAAAGCTGATGCCGTGAGCCTCGCATCCGAAGCATGGTCTGCCTTTCATGAACTCATCTTTCAATACTACCGCAGGCAGAATTTTTCTTTGGGGCCAACTTGAAGCCTGCTGTAAACAAGTGGCCAAACTTCCACTTACATTCCATCTCCTTTCCCCTAGATCGTAATGGTTTTCTATGGCACACAGAAGCAATATAAAAATCATTCCTGTGTTTTTCTGCATCATTAAAGAACGTTCCTTAAGCCCTTGGTAACTTGGGACTTGGGGTCTGCCGCTGCTCGTCTGTGTGCAGTAGAAACCAGGCCCACACTGATGATGATTTTGGTGTTAACTCTCCCAGTATCTGAAGGGCTTTTCTTTTTGTTAAAGGTTTTGTGTCTTCTTTGAAAAAAAATGGTCAAGAGTTTGTCTGGTCTTCTTGGGGAGAATTTCTGTGAATAGGAAATGAATTAATCCATTTGGATTTTACCAAAAACTTCTACATCGAGTGGATTTAAAATATATTTAAAATGTTTATTTAAAATCCAAGTCAAATGATTTTTAACAAACTGTCTCTAGACAGAAGAAACGGACTTTTTGGAGTAACTGTATTGTTTATTCTTTGTATTGCAGTAGCACCTAGAGAACCCTATTGTGCTAGATGCGGAGCAAACATATCACAGAGATGGTCCCTGCCCATATGAGCTTACAGCCTTCAGCTTAGCCTCTGCATCGCCCTGCTGGGGATTAACCAGGCATTCATTCTTGTTACATGCTTCTGCCATTTTAGCTGGGTTCTCTTGGGGCAATGAGGTCAAACCTGCAAGCTTGATTTCCTCATTACCCCCACCAGAGAAAAGATCAAGTAGGAGGCAAACTTCAGAGAGCTGAACAACTTGCCCTTTCCCGCCGTATATTTCTCAAACTGATTTTTCACATGCTGTAGATACCAAGCCTGTAGCTGAGCCATGTGGGCTTCCTGAGATCACTGCTTCTCCTTGAAGAGCTGTGGTTTCCTTGTTCCCAGTGTCCTCAGGCAGATAGAGGTGTTTGGATGAAAGGAAGCCTTTTCAGTGGTTAATGGTTTATATTATTCTAAAAAAAAAAAAGTTTTCTTTTTTGTTTTGCCTTCTAAGTTTTCATTCTCATTCAGTACCTTCCCACGCTTGCTGCCATATGGGGCAACGGGAAAGGATATAATAAAAAGCAAACCTGACATCACACATGCACGCTGTCAATCATCAAAGTATCAAAAACAAAGCTTGCAAGAGCACAGACTTGTATAAATGTGGAGGGGAAAAAAAAAGGGACACTGACTAAGCACATCAGGCCATCTTGTCCCTTTGGGCAGCTTTAAGTTAGGGTGGAAGAAACTCCACCCATTTTTTGAGCTTGCCTCCTGGGTCACCATCCCATCCTTTTCCACCTCCTCTCTCAACCCTCAGGTATAGCTGGGATTTGTCTCTTCTAATTTACAGAGCCTTAGAGAGACAGTCCCAGGGAGGGATGAGCGAGGAATCCTTAACATTGGTTCACGCTTGATCAAGTTATGGGGTCTTAGGGGCAAAAGAAGCCAAAAGATAATTTCTCTGGACCTGTCTGTTCCCTTCTTTACTCTCACTCAGTGGCATGGACTGGCTCCTACAGGCTGGGAAGGTGATGGGATCATGTGAATGAAGAGGAAGGGGCAACTTCTCTGTCTATGCTTGTTTTTAGGCAGATCCCATCTGCTGTTTATCCCTCCCATCTGCAAAAGAGCAAGGGAGAGCCATTGTGCTTCGTTTGCGGGGGTGTGAAAGGAATGGGGTGCGAAAAGTAAACCTAGAGCAAAAAATCTAATTAAGGATAACAAACACGCAAGTCAGAGAAAGGGAGAAGAGAGGTCTGGACCTTGGCAAACAGAGAAGTTGAATTGTGGTTTCCAGTGTGTGCTAGAGCCTAGCTCTGATTGAAGCCACGTGGCTTGTGAATAATGCGGGCAGAAGCAGAGCAACTGGCAGTTTGGCATTGTGTTAGAGAGGAAGGACAGCTCTTTCTGCTGAGGTGTGTCTAACTTGTTACCCCCCAGAAATAAATAAATAAATATCCTGAAGCTCTGTGTGTCTTTGGTGCAGCTCAGCAGAGCTGTCTCTGAACCCCTGGTCAAGGAGACCTTGTTCTTGCCCTACGTCTCGCAAGGCAAGGGCAATGTTGGGAACAGCACTTTCAAAACACAATGCAGAGTGCTCTGAAACCAAATCCCTCTGCCTGCAAATAAGAAAATTGGGTTTCTTATTACTTGTTTCTAAATGTTTTGTCACAAACTTCCTTTGGAGATGGGGAAGATGAAAAAAAATGGGATGAGTGCTCCCTGGCCCAAGCTTAATATCCAGAATCTCTACTTCGAGGTCTCAAGGAAGAAGGGCTTCCTCAAAGAAGTCTCCTGTCCACCACCTATGACGCACCATGCATCTCTGGGAGATGCACAAGCTGCCACCAATGTGCTTTGAGGTTACGACACCCAGCCCCCTGTAGCTAAGGAAGAAAAAAAAAATATTCTTTACCTCCGTAGAGATGGGTCTAGATACAGTCATCTGAGTCCCACGTACCCCAGAAGTCTGGGGGAGCTTGGATGTGGACTCCTGTGACCTGTTACAGGAACAGGCTCAAACAGGTACTATTTGGATGTGAATCCAAATCCAAATTCCCACAGATTTTTGGCTGCGAGCCTTTATTCTACCTCTAATTCCACAAAAGAAAAAGAAACAACAAACAATAAAGTAAAAGGTGCTTTTAAAATACCATGAGGAGAGAAACTGCCATGGAAATAAATAGCAAAAATAACAATGTTAACATTTCTGGTGTCACAGCAACTCTGAAATTCAAGTAGTGTGCACATGCCTACAGCACTTTCTCACAGCCACTGTCGGCGCAGCCTGAGGTTCAGAGCTCAGATTGTGTCACGTTGTTCACTGAAACAACCAACTCCTCCCTGGTGCTGGAATGGATTTAGAGAGAAGGGGAGAGGAAAGATGGATGCAGTCTCTGCTGATAATCAGGTCTTTACTGTGCCCACCTGATACTGCACTTTAGTGGGACAAAGATGCAAAGTTCTCTTATTTCTGTCCCTGTCTGTCATGCCTGAGATATAATGGCCATGCTTCAGAGTTGGAAAGGGTATTGCTTCAAATAGTCCCCCATCCGCCTAGGTAGAGGGAGCTGGTCCACGTCGGCTGTAGACTTGTTAATCCGTAGCCGGCACAGGTGCTGTAGACTGGGGATGTTGTCTTTGCGGCTGAGCGGCCGGATGAGTTTCAAGTGTACTGCAGCTGCTGCCATCTCTTTTTGCATGGGAGGTAGAGGAGACGGAGGCGGGTAAGGAGCCTCATTCTTGCTTTCCGTTGTGCAGGACATGACATAATGCTGGATAAGACTGACCACATCTGGGAAGGCCAGGATGCGAGGTTTGGACAAGTAGTTTGAGTCTAGCCGGAACTTGCTGTCAGTGTATTCAATGCGCACGTTGGTGGGACCTCGATTGGTCTTGACGGAGAGTGTGAACAGGTAGCTGGGGTGGGTGCTGTCCCGTACCAGGAAGGTGCCCTCGGGCATCTTTTGGAGATGCTGCTTGGCCTCACTGGCAGTGATAGATCCCCAGTACCAACCTGGAAAAGCATCCCAGAAAGAACTTGTCAGGGAAAGAATGTATTAAAGGACTGGCAGTGTATTTAGAGAAGCCTCAAAGCCTACTGAGTTCAGGGCTTGGGAAGTAACCAGGGTTTCCTACCTATGCTTGTCATTGCTGTGCTGGGGTTTGGGATGGGAATGACTACTTCTGCAGCTACTGCAGTTTACAGAGAAAGAGGGGCCTTTTTGCAATTCTTTCTCCTGATTCAGTTACAAAAGACAAAGCTTTTGCTTACACTAGTAATAAATTACTTCATGATACAAGTTTGTAGAGACTGAAAATACACTTGCTGTGTCCACAAGAGTCAGCCATGGCTGTGACACAACCAGGTCCCTATCTGAAGTGGGATCAGGAGATTCTTCCTGGAGCTCAGATTGCAGAGTTGACTCCCTATCCCTATAGCCTTCTGACCCCTTGACCTTGTGACTTGAGCCTTACCAGATTCTCGCAGATAGGAGAAAGTTTTTGCAATGCAGAGAAGGTCTTCTTCAGGGTCTCGTGTCTGAGGTGGGTTGCTGTCTGGAACTGGTGCTGCAAAGGCAGGCGCGGACTCCTGGAAGGCCATCACTGGGAGAGGCTGCATGATCGGCTCTGACAAATCCACTGCAATGCCCCTGAGTGACAGTCTCCTGATCTTTTCCTCCGCCAGCAAAGGATAAGGTCTGAAATGAAGGGCATACTCTGCTATTTTTTCTTGCTTTGAAATAGGTTGCAGTGTCTGTTCAGTGCATGCTACATTGTACTACAACATGTTATCTTTTATAAACAGATCCTCAATATGATTATGTTTCAAACAGAGAGAGGCAAGGGGGGAAAAATTACACAGCTAAAGATGAGCCCTTAGAAAGAGGGAGAGAGAGTTGGCCTCTTTCACCGTGTAAAAGGTGGCCTATCTTGCAATTTAGGTTGATTTGAAACCTGGTGGTTTTAGATGTTGCCTTTTAATATGTAGTTTTAGAGGCAGTAAGGTTCATAGCATTACAGCTTCACTTGCATCATTACAATGTTGGAGCATTTATTTTTCTGCCAGTGGATTTATTAGTCATTTACCATAATATAATTAGAAGCAGAATGGGGAATAGCTTGTGTTTTGTCCTACCAGCTTACTGCTGAAGGTTGACCTGATCCTAAATGTGTCTGTTAGAACTCAGGGTGAGCTCATCTTGTAGTAGAATAATGCGAATTCTTGTTTTAGCCAAGCCTGTGCACTACACAAACCCTAGTGTTCAACGGCATGACAGAGATCTCAGTGCAACTGTAATCCCTGCAGGATTACAGCAGTAGGAGGTTCTGCCATGACTGGGCTGCTATGAACATTAATCCCTCTGTGGCCTAAAGAGAGTGTTAGTGTAGCCATTCAGCATCTAAGTGCAGTTTCACAAAGCCGGGAGCTCTCATGGGCCATGGGTGCTCCTTCTCTGCAGCATGGAGATTCCTAAAGGAAGGCAGAGCTCCAGGGGGAGGATGGATGTTGGGGCCCGGGGAAGTCTTAATTCTCAGGCAATCTCCTGAGCAAAAACATTAGTTTCTGTCTTTTCTTCTAGGCTCTTTGCCTTTGTGTGTCCTGTACTGCTGCATGTCCTGTGTTATATCCCCCACATGCACTCACTTGCTTGAGACCTTCTTTCAGACACGTAACATAAAAGATGAGTTTCCAGAGAAATAAAACACAGTCCTCAAGAGAGGAAGCCGTCAAGAGATGGTCACAGCACCACTGGAGCTGATGGTGATTGCAAAGGCAGCAGCCCCCTCCTCCCACATCACTGAAGAGAGAAGCGGAAGGAGACTTTGAAGTCATAAGCACTTCCCTTCTGATCTTCCTCCTATTCTATGCTTTATGTGAACAGTGACACTTTAGGTACATACATACATGTGTTGTAAACTAATCTGGGCCTGATCATAGCTGCAATCCACCTTCTCAAACTGCCAAGTCTCAGGTATGGGACAGGGAGCAGGAAGAAGGGATTTGGGGGAAAAGTAGATTAAAGATAACCTGAAAAGGACTTCACAGTGATTTGTGAGTGAGAACCACGATCAGTTCCATGACTCTGCATTTCTAATAAAACCACGTAGGTTTGGAGTAAGGTTTTTGTAAAACCACTGGTAAAATTGAATCTATGGAGAAATGCTTTTTGCCTGTGCAATACATGGCAAAACCCCACTGTTCTGTTGGTATTTAGAAAAGAACATTCTTCCTTTTTCCATATGTCAAATCACATTTCAGAAGCAGGATGTCTACTTGGCATTCATGGCATTTGATCCTCATTTCTTAATTTCTATTCATGGGTAGGAAGCCAAACCTAATAAAAGTGATTGCTGGCCCTTATCTTCACCAGGCACCCTTGATCACAGGGACTGCGTTTTCAGTGGCTTTCACAGAACAGTGGATCTGACTATACTTTTATACCTGGAGATCACTGTTGGAAACCCTCTGAGTTCTCTTTTAAGTCCCACCTGAGCTACATTTGTAGGTGTTGAGGGCTGCACTTTTAAAGATATTTGGATGTCTCCCTCTTAATGTCATGGTCTTCACAAATGTCTAGCTACCTGCCTCCTTGGGGAAAGGAGATTGCTGATTCTCTATTTCCCCCCTTTTTGAGCAAGGAGGACTATAAACCAGATCCTTCACTGTACTGAACCTAATATAATAGTTCGCGCTGTGCAATGAGGGCATTACACAGGACTGTTGGCAGAGCATTCTCTCTCAGGTGCCTTATACCGACTGTTCACTGAGCTGAAAATGACTGTGACCAATGTTAAGTAAAATCAGTCCTGCACTGCTCACTGCCCACTCGCTCCCCAGAACTTGAATACTGCAGTCCAAATTCCAAATCTCTCTGAACTTATTTTCTCCTGGAAAGTTTTTCTGGCTTACCCTTTGGGAAGGGTTTAGAACACAAAGAAAACTTTTCTCGTTCCTAGCATGAAACTACTTTTTTAATTTTTATATACCTAGTTTGGAGAGGAAATTGGGAATTGGCTAAGAGCCTGGGAAGGAAGGGAGAGATAGCGAAGCTACATGGGGAAATGTACTCCCATTTCATTGCAGAAAGTTGTTAATTCAAGGGCTGTACCAGTTCACAGTTCGGTCCTCCAAAAGACACATCAACTATGTGAATTGGTCAGTAGGTTTCTTTTACAGAGCCACTGTGGGTCTCTCTGATGCAGAGCCCATGTGCTTGACGTGAGGTTTCCCACTGTGCTCGCTCTCTGCTGCCTTACACTTTCTACCACCTGAAGCTGAAGGAGCCCAAACCCTATGCAGCCAGAGAAGGGCCATGCTTATACTCTTCCTATTTTCCTTCCATATACCTGCCTTATGCCCCTCTCTCCCCCTACAAAAAGTCCTATTGCAGCTGTAGTCTCAAAGGAGCACGGTGGGATTAGAAATTCTCATAGACCGGGAGGTGCTGATGCCCTAAACAACTTTGTACATAGGTTGAAGAAAAAAGAGCTGCTGCTGTGACCAGAGCAGCTCCAAGCACAGGAAAGGGAGAGCAGAGAGATCAGCCAGTAATGGCAGACTACAACTTTTAATGCAAGTACATTTGCAAGAGGGATAAGAAGAGTTTGCTGGAATAAGGACATGTTGAAAAAGGTATGCTGACATGAAAAAGTCAGTCCTTTAATGGGACAAAGTAAGTATTTGAAAATAATTAGTGCTTGTAAGAAAGAAAGTAGAGGAGAGACGTGGAGGATCAGGACTGAACAGAGTGAAGTGTTAGTACAACAGCTGCGATGAGGAGGAAAACAAATATATAAAATTTGACATGTCTAGCTGGTACTCTGTGTGGAGTCTCAAATGAAAGAGCAAATAACTTCCCTGTGCTTTGGCAATTAGTGTTTCAAAAAGCCTTGGAAAGCCAAAAAAGTTCAAGAGAATCAGGTATGTCTGATATCATTTAGTGTTAGCTTTGCAGTTACTTTGCTGATAAGCTAAAACTTTGTAACACAGTACAAATAGTACAAGAAAAAGTGTGTCGAGCTGTTATCCCTTCCATCAGCCACGTCCCAAGACTCCCAGGGGAGCTTGGTCTGAATAGGAGGCAGAATATGGAGTCTAGGATATACGAAATCCTGGAGGATAATGAAAACTGAGAAATAAATGGTCATAAAAAAAGATATTAAGAGACAACCACCTACACATCTGGCTACGTAACGAGTTCTTAGTGGGTGAAGGGAAGCAGTAGCCCTGGAGAAAAGCTTCAGATAAGGGTTTCACAAAACCTAGGTTGAAAAACAAATTCCCTTTGCCATGGCTATAGGAACGGCAGCAGTAGACTGAAAATGAGAGCGAAAACAAACCCACTTGAGTAGTAGGAAAGTATTGGTAAGCACGAGCACTGCTTGTCTGTGGAACAGATTTTGGGGGGAAATGGCAGAAAAATCCCTGTGCTTTAGTCATTTAAAGCAGACAAGGCAAATGCATTGCCGCTGAGGGCAGGAGGGATGGGCAATATGACATTACGGCTCAGGCTGAAACAGATGCTGACACTTTCCAAATAGGCAGCACGTGTAAAAATGCTGAATGATTCCTGCAGACCAGGTATTTACGCATGTTGATGACCTGAGCTGATCATACAGACACTGAAATGCCAACACACCGGTGCCAGACACCGCTACCAGAGAAGGGACTTTGATGTTACCTGTTTTACTGAACAAAGGTGGTGTAACAAAGGTGGTGTAAAGTATGGGTAAGTCTGTATATATGTACATATATTTCATCTTACCCGTAAAAGCAATAGAAACAGGAAATTAGGTGTTTAGCATAAATATTTACTTAGAAATCGACAAAAACGTTGAAGTCCAGGGAAGTTTTTCCCTGTAAGCAGTTTGTTTCCACCAGGACATTAGAGAACACCTACGGTCTCGAGTTTGTGTCCCTGCTGGTGTTGCACACACACCACTGAACAACACATCCAAGTTTTTACTAATTTTTACTCCCCCAAAGACTTTGAATACCATGTAGTTTTTCAGCAATAGAAAACATGGAAATCAGGAATACTTTATGGTCTTATGATTTTGGCTGTGGAATTTAAAAAGCAGACACATAGCACACACATGCAGAACTTAGCACTCGGCCAGCGTCAGTCATTCCCGTTCCATTACAATCACACATGGCAACGCACACGAGCTGAAAAACTGTCCCAGAGAATCTTACTAATTACAATTATCAAACCACAGCTTTTAAAAGAAGGCTGCAAAGTATCTTACCCCTGAACACAGAGGATCATGTCACTCCTGGACCAAGGGAAAAGCATTAAGTCTTCAAGAAGGTGGGAAATGCTTTCTCCTTGTCTCTTTTTTTCTTCTCGTCTCCTTTTTCTTTGCTTCCCAGAAGGAGCAGGCTAGTTCCAGCCTCGAGTTAGGGGTTCACGGTGAGAGAAGGCTGGAGAGTCCCAGCAGACCCTTTCCGCAGTAGGTTGTGTTTCAGACACAGAAAAAGCCAAGCAGAAGGCGAATCAGACTGTCCGAGAAAGACTCTGCGGATTGTTTAGCAACTTTGGCCAGGAAAACGCGTGCACTTTCAGTGCTTTAGAAAATAATGTATTCTTGTTCTGCTTTTCAGAAAATGACGACGAAAAAAGTTTTAAAAATAACCAAAGAAAAGGGAAATTATGTATGTTTAAAGAGGAAATATTCTTCCTTCAGAGCAATCTTTTAGAAAAAATATTCAGAGCACTCTGAAATAATAATAAATAGATACCAATAAATAATATCCCCCCGAGTGCTTGGGGGCAGAGAGCCGGGAGCGCAGCAACCCGCTTTTTCACTGACTCCAGAAGTAATGAAGCTCCGAGAAAAAAACCCAACCTACTAAGTAATCTTTTGTTTGCCCCTTTTAATCTGTTCCAGGAAGTGAGGGATTCCTGGAATCGTATTGTATTCACA